CCGAAGACATACCGCTGTGCCACTGGGGGGGCATGAACAAGTTAAGAGGAACATGAAATAAAAACAAAATAACATTTGTAATTGACGAAATTTTTTCGGTTTGTTGGTTTCTAATGTTTCAACAGTTCTCGACGTTTAAGCCTAATTAACCAACGATAAAAAATAAGTTCATGTTTTTTTTTGTTTTTTTTTCACTAAATTATTTTTATGCAAACTCAACAGTGTCATTAATCACTTGTGTTGACAGAGAAAGTTAGGCCCACAAACTATAGAGCACAAGAGCAGTGACAAGCTGTTGCACATTCAATATTTATCATTCAAGCACGTCTTCATAGTAAACGTTACTAATTTCTTCAGGATGTGTAACAGAAATTTTTTTATTAAAAAATAATAATAAATTGTTACATCGCCCAGAAATTCACAAACGAGAAAGTTTGGTATATTAATAACAAAGTACGACGCAGTATAACAAAAATAAAATAACTGAAATCGCCAGAGAATAGTTTGGATTGACCCAAACGCCACAGATAAATTATGGGCTGTTAACTTTTAAGAAACTGATTGAGTGAGACTTTAGAAACAGTAACATTTTATCGTGGAAGTAAAGTGCTGCGAATGTTAAAGAAGGGATTTTTGGGACAAACTATCCTACTAAACCTTTTATTTAACGAACTAAAACGGTACAAGCTGGTACTTTTCCTAGATATATGTGATGCTGAATTTGACCTTGTTAAATCCCAAATACGCCACTCTCACGATTTGTGAATGAATGTCAGTAGCACTGTATATATAATGTTGTTTCGGTAGGGAACGTTATTTGTAGAATTATACGGATTCAAAATCAAAGTGGTGTAAAATCCGTGTATAATTCTGCATATTAATTTACCTACGCTATGAGTCTTAAACAACAAGAGAAGGTTATTTTTACCAGCGCTATAACTGAAGAGAAAGGCGTAGGTAAGCTAAACTTTTTTAGTTGTTGGTATCCAGGCCATATAGTTTTACAATAAGCAGTAAGGGTTATACAAGAATTGGGTGTGTCTTTACCATCGAATACACTCAGGACCGTCGAGACCTATCATGTGTCCCAGGGAAATATCCCCGGCCTCCCCGCTATCTCAAAGGAACCGGCTGTGTTCCTGATTAAACTTTTAAACTACATCATAAAACATATGTATGCGTTAGAACACTATACCTTACTTAGAAAATATATAAACGTGCAATATAACAATGTGATTATTTGGATTATTTGAAAATCTCTACACTAAATAACACTGAATGGAAACGAATAAATAATGATCACACGTTATCGAATTATAATACCAATTATTTCACAGAAATTAGCTCTTATCCGACTTCGACAAACCGGAGCCAGTTTTGGTGCCTCGTGCATTACAAAGTTGACATACCTACGGCCAAGTTTTATGTATTAAGACGTGAAACAACTAATTAAACATGAACTTTATAGCCGGGCAACATTTGAACTCTTTCAGGTAATTTTTTCCAGTATAATAGATCAGTTGAGTAATGAAGTAGACATTGTCGTCTACTGGACACTGGTTACTCCAATTAGTCATATTGGACAGAGGTGCCCTTGCTGCTACCACCGTCTTTATGACACACCGAAAGTAGTCGATCTTCCATTTCTCTGCCAGAGGGAGACACTTGGCTTCGTCTAGGCGAATGTAGTAGTAATTATTGAGATCAGCAATAGCTGTAGGGACAAACCAATTAAGAAACGTCAGGAAATTGTTAAAAAAAAAGTAAAATTTATTACAAACTAACACACATGAATAAAATAAATCATTCGGATTGAAAGGTCTAAGTGGAGTTGAATCTCAAGGAAAAGGGTTATTAGTGATGAAGATCATTTTATAACTGTTGTAAAGTTTTAAAGATTGAATAAGAAACAGAAAGAGGAATTACTGATGAACAGTTCTTTGTTAGGGTTAAACATTTCAAGTATCAAGTATTCCCAATAATTCTTTGAGAAAAGAAGACGATAATACCAAATAGCAAACTTGTTGGGATATAATTACAGTGCTGTAAAATTTAAAGTTCTAAACCAAATTATTGTTTAAAAAACTGTTTCGAACTCAGTGTTGGAATCTAATACTACAAGCTGACCTTAAAAGAAAACAGGGAAATTTCAATGGATGCTGTCTTTTTTTTTGGCATCTCTAACAATTAATCATAGTGTTATGATTGTGTATGAACCTTAAGGTTCACCTGTCTTCGTGGTCGATACCTGGTACAACCGGAACTTGAAATCGGCCTAGCATTTAAAAATACCTGATTATATACCTGTTATGACATGATTAGACGGACATTCGCTAGGTGGATCAGTAGAAGATAGATCTAAAACTACACCACCAGTTGCATTAAGAAATGGATCCACGGGATCAGGGGTCCGGCAGAGCACATAGTCCAAGTCATTCGACCTGTAGAAACACAAATCCGTGATATTAGCATGTTTAGATTGTTTTAACTTTCATACATTAGTCGGAATTAAAATATTTTATTGGAAATACATTAGATACAAATCTCGAAACTTTTCATTTTAGACTTTAAAACATGTATGTGAAAAACAGGAATATAAAACTAACCAAAAACCGGCCATGCCAGCACTCACGCAGTGATCAGTGTTACAATCGTTGAGCCAAACTTCGCTGGCTGGTGAAGACGATCGTTTGGTTAAACCTATTTGTTTCTCGGAGAAGTACGCTTCATGTAAATGATGATAAAGGCCATAAGTTGGTGCCTGATAAGGTCAATAAAAATCGAAGTTATGTTTTGTTACACAACTTAGTTTTAAATCAAAACAAAACAAACACCGTATTATTAGTTCGCTTTATAACGCTTTTCTTTCTTTTGTAGAAGTTCATGGAGTCGAAGTTTGGTTGTTTAAAAGATTATTCTCATGCACATTACCATTTTTTACTTACCTGACGTCATCACGTGATTAGTTAGGGGCGTAACGTAATCAGACCAACAATGTAATAAGTTAACACAAAACGTGCCAAATGGCATAAAGTAATAAGTCAGCATGAAAAGCAACTAAGGACATAACGAGTGGTTAACACTGTTATGTATCTGCTTGTTTGTTTGTTTCTGGAAGAAATTCTTACCGAGGATCTTCAGCGATACAAGTCCTTTCTTCATTAAACCAGTTTATTCTTCCTCGATACAAACTTTTAGTACACAGAAGTTTCACAATCAGTACGTTTCTCGTCACTTTAAACTTAACAACTTTAATAATACACTCTATAAATCACAGCGATTTACAGTCTCGATAACTTCGCTCTCAACAAGTGCAAAAGACACACGTGACGGCTCACTAGCTCGAAACTAACAGAATAATAAGTTATACGGAATTCAAAGTAACTACTGCTCTCTCACTTCATTCATCCCCGCTTTCTCTGCCAGGCTTATATACTAATGAACAGGGCATCTCGAACACACTCGAACTTCCCCGATGATTCTAGAAACTCGTCACGCACGCCAGCAGCGTCACGTGACTTTTGCTGTCGTAACAACACTTTTAAAATGTGGCGCAATAGCGCCCGGCCCTTTAGGGTTAAGGGACCTCTTTGTGATAAGCCTACATTTTATAGCAATAGTAGCACTGTAAAACAAAAATCCTAAAATGTTTAATGATTATATTAATGTTTTTTTTTAACCAATGGTAAAAGTGAAAATATAATCTATGAAGTGAAGACCTAATGCCTTCTCTTACTCACTGCACCCTCAGGTGCGAAATACAATTTCACCTATTCCAGGTTTATCAACACAGACGGCTGGAGTCAGTAAACCAAAGAAATGCAGTTAGGCTTCCTATAGTGGTGATATGTACATAATATTTATAGGATGTTGAGTACTTTTTAACGCATCAGGTGGTAACCTAAATTAATTTAGGTATTTGAATAAAATAATTGCATTGAGCTTAAATTATAATTATTATTCGATATTATACAGCGGAACCGTTGTTTAATAGTTATATTACATATTTCTTTTCTTTTCACCAAAGGAAAAATTAATAATAATTTCGAATAATAATTTAGGCGCAATGCTATAATATTTATTATACACACCTAAAATAATTTAAGTTACCATATGTTTAGTTAAAAAGGATAAAAAACTCATAAATACCCTAAACTTAAAGATTAAAAAGCCAAAAATACAAAGTAAAAACAATGTAAAAATATTTTTTTCACCTAAAAAACCTTTAAAAATAATTGCGAATTGAAATACTTTTGTCTGTAACACTTGCAGATCATGTACGAGGTACCACAGAAAGGTGTTATTCTTTGTAAGCCACAAGGGAGCGAAGCGAGGTGAGGTGATGTTGTGTTCATGTGTTGTGTTTCGTCCTTACTTTTGGAGTTGTGATTTTAGTTTTAATTTAAATATCGATTCCAAATTGAGTACTTCTAAGAGCTTTTATAAAAAAGGAAAGAAAACGTGAAACATAATTGTTCAGCACAGTTTACCGAAAATTAGTTCATTTTACAAGAGTACTGAGGAAGCAGACGATACTGAAAAAAAGGCTTAGGCCCACGTCTCCCTTTGACTACAACAATGATGTAGTTGTGGACTAAGAAAGTGTTGAGAGTAAGCCTAAATGTGATTTTAAAGAAGAAAACCAAGAGAATGAGAAAAAATAATAACCCTAATTACATTGGACAAAATGAATTTACATTTTTCCTAAATTATGGTGGTATTGACAGTGATAAGCCTAAGACAGAACTTAACACTCTAGGTGGTACTACAAAAGGGAAATAAAACGTAAAGCCGAACTTGTTAGGCCACAGTTTACCGAACATTAGTTCGTTTTACAAGAGTGCCGAGGAAGCAAGCAATACTTAAAACAGGCTTAGGCTTAATTTTCCCGGTTGCGATGAGGGCTTAGGCTTACAAAGTGATGAGAGTAGGCCTAAATGTGATTTTAAAGAAGAAAACCCATAGAACGAGAAAAATAATAAGCATTATAACATTGATAGGTGTAAATAATCAGTCCTCAATTATGATGGCAGCGGTAGGCCTAAGACCGAACTTAACTTTCAGGAGGTTGCCGATAATGGCTAATAATCCTAATAAATGTTCTACTAATTCAATTAATACCAATAATCCATTTCATAAAACTAGCTTTAGTGGGTTTTAAATGCAGACCAAAAGTGTTTTGTTTTACGTCAGAATCCATGTTAGAGATAAACCCAACAAAGAAAGAAGTATTAGTACTTGCTTCCTGAGAAAGTGTTAAAGCTTGCTAAGACTTACCATGCATGGCCTGGCTGTGTTTCTCACCTACTATACTGTAAGCCCTGTTGGAGTTTTGTAGACAAGAAGAAAATCTGGGTAAGTGGTTTTCACATTGCAGCAATTGTGTAGAAGTATAGAAAGACATGAAATGTCAACATATCATATATAGAATCATGTATAGTGTATGAACAATGACAGGCACGTGAAACATTAAATGAAGCAGGAAGTTAATTACTGACGTCAAGTGGTAAACCAAGTTATTAATGTAACTTTGATTCATGCTATTTCAAATTAGGCTTTTGAGGATCGTGGGCAAGGGTATGATTGTGATGTGAATATGGTTGGTGCTTATTCAAGTGTCTTGGCGAGAAAACTAGAACGAGTTCCAGGTTCTAAATGTATACACCGTGCAATACACAATCTACACTTAATGTTAATGATTATTCAATCTGTACTGGAATTAAAACATTCGTTAATTGCTCCTGAAACTTTATGAGGCACAGTATTAAAATATTAGCTTCAAAGTCAGCATCAATGCAATCTAATCCTGCTAAAACACTAAAAAAAAATATGTCTCATGTGATGGTCCTCGTACTATGATTGGTTGATAGCTTTGCATTATAGGTTTGCAGATGTTATAAAAACACTATCAAAAAATCGTATATAAAAGTGACAAATCTGATGAACGTAATTAAACTAGTTCTTTCAGTAAGACATCTACAGTCATTTAATGTTGTATTTTAGTAAGACATCTACAATCATTTAATGTTGTATTTTAGTAAGACATCTACAGTTATTTAATGTTGTATTTTAGTAAGACATCTACAGTCATTTAATGTTGTATTTCTCATCGTAATGGGAACACAGTTATGAGTGTATTGATGTTGTGTGTAAACTGATCCTGTTAAATACACAGTAACTTAAGGTTAAAACGACATTTGTGTAAAATTAAAATAAAACATACATTTAAAGAAAACCAACATTAATTATACACCAAAACTGTTTACATGTGAGACTGTTTCCAGTCTAAAAAAATACAATAAAACATTAACTCAATAACACTGTATAAAGATAAAAACCTTGAAACCTGGTATAGTCTCATAAATAACATGTTTCAACGTATTGGTTCTTCAGTAGATTAGTGAGTGAATGTTTACTGTATTTTGATACTGGAGATAATATCATTTTAAAATATTTAAATACAGGAGCTGAGAAATCGTCTGGATAATTACAGAACTCTTCTGATAAAATAACGTCTTTGAGAAGAAAATTCGATGAACTAAAAGAAACGGAAACAAAAATGGCCACAACCTGGTGAACTGACACAAATTTAAAGCTAAGTGAGTGCCTCAAGTAAAAAAAACGATGTGTTGAGTTGAGTGTTGACCAGTGACTGAGTGATGATAAGAAAGATTTAAAGTTGGCGTGTTTTTCCGAATTGTTTTTATAATATCGACGCAGTTAATGATAACTTACGTAAAGAGTGCTTTCCGTCCCATACTAACAGAATAATTAAATACTTTAATAGATTATTAGTTTTATTTACAATGCAGGAGAACTCCCAGCAGGGACTTACAAAACAGATCTATCTGTCAACTCTGCCAAATTAGAGGTTATGCAGTCACGTGATCAAAGTAAATACGGCAACAATTGGGTCTATAGCTGGTATCTTTAAAAGCATGTGTGAAATCTCAACTTTCAAAATTAAACTCTGTGAAAGAACTTTCTACGTCATTTCCAGATGCGTGTGTGCAGTATGACTGTTAATTCTTACACTTTCTGTAACAGTAACATCAACAGAGTGCTTCTTCTCCAAATTAAAATTAACCAAGAATTATTTAAGAAGTACGAGGAAGGAAACATATTTAAATAGACTTGCCGGATCGTCAATAAAGAATAAACGAGCTTGATGTTTGGATACAAAGGACATGGTCGGATATTTCACATAGAAAGAAAGCAATGAAACTGTGAAGGTAAGAATGATATTGTTTTATAATAATTTAATTAAATTGAATTCTTTAAGTTATGTCAAATAAAAATGCCAAATAATAAATCTATGGTAAATTAATGGGAGAAGAGCTTTCTTGTGCTAAGTCGACCCCCTACTGCGCTTTTGGTTAACACAGAACGTACCTAACGTGAACAGTTAACACAGCGTGACCAGCGGCATAACGTGACTAGAAATTTTACGCATATTATAAACATTAGCATAAAATACTTGCGCTTATCTGCGGTGTTTAAAGCCCCCCACCCTTATGATTCAATGTACTGATGTTACTCCTCCATTATCCCCAATCACATCTATACTATGTCGATCTCGAGTGATGGAGGTCGATATCCGAAAACAATGAACGCTAGAATACCCACCCGTGATACCTGAGTACGTTTGATCCCTCTAGCTTGATTGGGGATATGAACACAGTTTAAAACCTGGTACCCCTGGGATCCCGACGAGCCAGGGACACAAAATATT